AGAATTCTGACCACCATTAGTTGATCAGATAGATTAAAAAACACAAACAAGAATTAATTGACATCGAAATAAGCGGTAACAAATTGAGTAGCCCCACAAAGATGCACTGCGATGTGCCCATTTTTAACCAGTGAACTATGAACTGCTTAGCCAAAACTATCCACTATGATCATTCCAGGCACAGAGTTTGTGTCAGGCACACAATTGGTAATCTATTAATTGAGTCCATACATATGAAGATGAATACTAGAAACTTCAAAAGAGAATACATATCTGAATTATCTTATTCAGAAACAGGCAGTTATTGAGACAGATAGTTGTTTGTCAACTTACCCTTTCAAGCTTGTATTTAAGCCTTTCCTCAGCATTAGCAAACCTCTGCTTTTTCTTCTTCCCTTTGACACCAAGTCTTCTGGGGTCTCTTTTATTGGCAGCCTTTCTCTTTTGCTTTTCTTTTTTCCTTTGCATCTTCAACGTCTTCTTTGTCATCCACTTGTCTCTTTTAGGCAGCTCAATTTCATGAGTCTCGAATTTTGGCTTTCCCTGTGGAGATATCACTAAATTCACTCTGCCATGGCTAAAATTCCTCAGTGCCAACCATGAACTTCTTGAAGTCAATTGCATTGAAGGCCTAAAGATCACTGAAAAGGGTTGGCACTTGGCACAGGTTCTGAAGAATTGGGATAGCAAGGACCTTAAAAACATCAATTGGGAAGTGATCGGCAGTTGCAGCGACGGTGAGGACGACAACTTCTCCACCTCCTTTTGCTCCTCGGCTTTGCTCCCGTTTTCTGTTTTCTGTTTTTTCATGATTTGCTTGTTTTGCCTTTTTTTTATTTATTCTAGAAAGAAATAAAATCTAAATAATACACAATTATATCAAAAGCCAAAATTTCCTGAAAATTAAAAGAACTTTCTTGCGCAATTTGGGTACTGTGAATTCATCGACTTTAGGAAGTACAAGTTTATTACATTTACCTTACTCGATATTTGGGCAAATAACAAAATTTACCTCATAATTTGATCAAATTCCAATAAACTCCTTACAATGGCAAAATGTTCATCAAATACCCCTTTACTGAACATTAGAAATGATGCTTATGGGTGCTTGTTAAATACTCCGTCTTTCCCGATAAGTTTGTTGCACTTGGGAAGATGTAATTTTTATCAACAGTGCATTGAATCTTGCAAATTTTATTTCACTTTCCACTTTTGCTCTCTAACGTGTAATGCATACAAAGAAAGTTATGTTGGAAATATATTGCTGTAGGGCCTATCTATTTTGTTTAACTCAAAATTGCATGACAAAGATCATGTATCAACAACGCTTAACACGCATTTGGGGGTGTTTTTCACACACCAAATTGTGGTGCTTCCTTTTTACTTTGACTTTTGAGTTAAAGTTGTAGGTACCCATATTTTGAAAGGGTAAATGTTGAAATTGGATGTAAAAAAGTTTTCTATTTTGGATATGTGACAATTATTTTGGAATAGACAAAAAAGAAAAGCATAACAACTTCAATGAGTCAGAGGGAGTAGGTTTCAAGTATTTAACGGGTATCAAAATGTTAACAACACTCATTTGTTTAATAGTTTTGTAAGGTTTGAGAGAATGTTTTGTTATTTGTCCAGAACCTTGGGATCTGATTCATAAGTTTGCCTAACCTCAAAGGAAGTAAGCACAATTAACTCAAGATTAACAAGGGATGGAATTCTATCAATTAATATGTATAGATCCCAAAAAGTAGCTAGATGCTTTGCACCATTATTTGAACAATCTCCATTATTCTTGGCAAAACCAAAATCAAAATTACCTTGTTTATTTTTACGGATTCCACCCTAGTTGGAATTTTTATAGCAAAAAATAAAAATAAAAAGGTCTGCATCCTAAAAGATTAATGTTGAAATTGAAATGATTTTACCATTTTGAAATTGTGCGCCCCATTTTTAATGAAAAATATAAAATTTCTAAAGTTTGTGGTTTGAAAATCTTTTGAACCATTCAAAAAAAAAAAAAAAACAAGTGGTCTAAAGAAACATTTAAAGCATACTTCGTAAGGCTTGAAATGCTTTGACAAATGGCAAGTGATATAATTTCTATGTAACTATTGAATTTTGAAGAATCTATAGTTGTTTAAATATTAAAGAGAATAATTGACGCAAGCTTATTTAGTGTAAATCCACTTAACTAGATTGCTAGACAACGCTCTAGAGAATTAAACTCATATTTTCACAAACATGTACCAGAACACTGACAAGTTCATTGCATAATGAAGTAATTCTAAGTCTAAAATTGTCAAAAGGTTGTATAGATATCATTTTTAAAAAATTAGAAATTTGAATCATTCAATTTTAAGGAAAATAAAAAAAAAGTTCATAAATGGACATAGTTGCTTGTAAGATAGCTCATTACAATAACTATGATGGTAGGTTGTAAAATTTGTTGAAATTGAAGGGGTCTAAGTGCAATTTTAATGGAACTCCATTTCTGGATTCAATGATGTAACAGCCGCAATGGCAGCAGTCCGGTGGATGAAGACTCACATCTTCGGTTACCGTCAACTCCTAGACCCCTTGAGGCATGAAAGCCGGGCAGGTCTAGAACAAGGGACAATGAAATTCTACTGGAGTCGGTAGAATGGCAGGGCTACTAATCAACTATCACTTAAATAGATGCCCACCACATGTTTTGTGAGGCAGGAGGATTCAAATCTCGCCTCCCATTAAAAGTTGTCATTTAATGTAGTTTCTTTTATATTCACATAGATGGTTAATGTACCAGTATGGTTTGATGGTGGTTCAATTTTCGTCGGTTCCCGTGGCTCTGTTGGATCACCCCCTAGTATAGATTAAAGTACGATTAGGTGTAAATAATGACAATAAACCAAAAAAAAAAAAAAAAGAATAGAATGTGAGTTATTAGAGGGTAAAGCAAACTGCCCTACTTGCTTTCAAGCCGATGCCCTCCATCTCCCTTCTTGGACTTGCTTATGATAATAGAATTACACCGTGTGTATTTTGTAACTGTAGATAACTTATTACTATAACTATTACAGCAAGTTGTAAAATTTGTCGAAATTGAAGGGCTTCGAGCGTAATTTTCCTGGACATTGTGTGTGTTTGGATAGAAGATTATTTGGAATAATTTTTTTTTTAAAAAAAATACTGTAACATTTTTTTGATGTAAAGTACATGAGCGATAAAAAGATGATTGAAATAGGCGTTGATAATGTAAGCAAGTCCGTATTTATTTCCTGATTCAGTACCATAACAGGCGCAATAGCAGCACTCTGGTGGCGGTTCCCTCTGGCAACATAAACATTGAGGACACCCTGGCTTCTGCATAATTTCTGCTTCAGCCAAAAAGTAATGAATTTTAAAAAAAAATTAGCAAGATAGCAGTAAAAAAAAACTAATTGACTTAGCAAGATAAAAGAAAAATAAAATTAGATGTACCTCGATGAGTTAATCCAGTAATTCCAGCTGCATGGGATGTTATGGTTGATGAAAGCAAGATTGCAAAGATAAGAAATGCAACCACAAGAGGCTCTTGTGAGGATTTGGCTTCCATTGCTTTCCTAATTGCTTTGAATTATGACTAGTAGAAAATTTGGCCTTGAAGGATTTTTTTTTTTTTTTTGCAATTAGCAAGCCTTTTGGCCATGGTTTATATAGGTGGTTAAGGTCTTCTAAGTAAACGCTAAACATGTCTTCCATGCAACTAGGGAAGTTGAATTTTTTTTCAAAGACAAATGGTCCCAATTTCAAGCTTCAATCTTGAGTCCTACAATTCTCAATGCTCTATCATTTTCCTGGAAAATAACCCCTAATGTTTTGGAATGATTCAGAAATTTCAATGGAATTTGTCGAAATTCAATTCCGCGCAATACGGCCTAAATTAAATCACCAAAATTGTTTCTTTTGATGGTTGGTTGAATGAGTACATGAATAACTAGTCCCTGTCAATTGTCCCTGTCAATTCTGTTTAGATTGCCATTTAGTCTTCCCACTAGTCCTTTCCCAATGTGAATCATTTAAATTCTTGAAGGCAAAATTTTGTTGTATTTTAGAACAAATATCAAAATTTCAAATTCCCATAGATGATCACCATATATGGAGATTTTTTTTTCTCGGATCAAAGTAATTAAAGAGGTGCCAGCATAAGTTGGTGCAGTTGATAAGAAAAGACTACCTTTTTTCTTAATAAAAAAGTCGTGTTTTTGAATTTCACTGCCTATGTGAAAATTGATGCCTTGACACGTAATAATGACTGAAGTCGAACTCATTCCAACTTTTTCTCTCATTCAAACATTTCATACAAAAAAAAAATAGTAACTACAGATATTACATGCACGCGGAAACATATAGCAATCTGAAGAGGGACCAAAATTTTCGTTGAGCTTGGTAAAACCATTGAAGTTCGGCTTTAAAAGAAGGTAAAATAAGGTAAATTCCCCTAAATTATCTTCCCATTTAAGCACCAGTGAACCTTGAGGTCACAAGTTCGAGCCTCCGCTTCGCTGGATTTCTCCGCGCACTTAACGTATTCGGGTCAGATTGGGACGCCGGGCCCGGGCCGCAGGGGATTAGCCGGGCCCGGTAAGGATTGACCCGGACACCCCTGTGTCGACAAAAAAAAAAAAAAAAAATCTTCCCACTTCAATTTGTCCCCTGGTTATTTCAATTGCAAAATTTAACTGACTTTCATTTGCATTTTTTTGCTAATCACTCCAATTTTATTAATTGTTTTATCAATTAGTTGACCAAAACTTATCTTTCTTTCTAATTGAACTATGTGTATTATTACGTTAAGTCAGTTGTCAATGTGAAAGAGGTAATTAGGCTTGATTCTTTCCATGTCAATTCAGAGCTTGCTCTTGCTATAGGGATTATATTTGCTGCGAACAAACCGAAGGACACTGACAAGGAAAAGCAAGAAAAACATCATACTGATGGGAGAAAGTAAGAAAAATCTTAAGGAATATTACCAAACTCAGGTATGCAAAAAGAATTGTGTTTAGTTTGATGCCAGAACAAGGACAAAGATGGTTGTTCTCTACAAATGAGTCATGCAATAAGAATATTTTCTCAACAACTTCATCCAGTCAACTGCATATTCAAGCTAATAAAGCAAGATGGCTTCTGTTCCTTTAAGGTCATCAAAGTTGTGTCTAGTCTACCATTGTTCAAGTTATTACATTTTTAGGAAAGCAAAACAATTTAAAGCTCCAGAATATGTTTAAGTACCTGTGCAGCCTATCTGGTTCCAAACACCATAGGACAATGTTGTTGTACATTTCTTTTTTCAGTAACTACTGATGACTGAGTACATGTGGATGATTTGTTCTTCTGGATTTCAGCTTTTACCAATCACAAGTGGTACAGCTACGCATAAGCTACCATCTGGGACCACAGTTTTCCAGGCTTACCCAATTTGATAACCTGCATCCATGGATAAACTATTTGAAGCATGATTCCGCTCGATCAAATCTCCATACTTGGCGTGTATTTAGGTAATTAGTGAAAGCTCCAATTGTGAATACTACCTCTGTTTCCTTGATGCACCAAAAGCTAGATCGATATGATTCATTCCTCAACCCACTCAAGTTTCTGCATCTCTTCTTATACCGTAAGAGTAGTATACAAAGTTACAAGCATTGACAACTACATGCTAAAGTATCAATCAAAATCTACATGCCAGCTCACTTGATCGAGTACCGAAAAGCACTCATCTACCTCCAAGTTCCTGTAAGAGTTACCATTTTTCTAAGAGTCTTGAAACATGAATACCAGCAACCAGGCAAGCAAAAATCATCAATGGACAGGTAACCATTCAAGTCAAAATTCCAATTGCAAAAAGATCTCAAAGGACAAGATGCATGGCAAATAGCAACTCACGTATAAATGCATTTATATACAGGAGGCATGCTTCTTTATGAGTACCTGCAAAGAGACGAGTGCATAATGGTATGCACAAGGAATCCCCAGAAATTGTGTCGAACATTTCAATAAGATCTCATAAACCATCAATAGCAATCATCTGATATGCTTTGCTAATGGCCATGCAGGTATCCATGCAATTATGTCTGTGTGCTCTCATCTGCAACATTGATCTGCAGGACAATAACATTTGGTGAACACGTGTATATCGAAAAGTTAATATAACAGCTGAGAATCCGTTGTCCCCTGCTTCAAAAACATAGCATGCATGTATTGATCATCAAGCCGTTTTCCCTAAAATTCATGTTTGTAACAGATCTCTTAAAAGTGCCAATTATTCATCTCCTCAGTGTCAGTGGCAAAAAAATGTACTCTCTTATCAAAGTACAAGTCTAAGTAGTATTCTGCAATCATTGCAAAATGCAAAAGGTCCTCAAATTGATGCTTCTTAATAAAGATATAGAGTATTAATCACTCAATTCCTCAGTAACAACTGGAAAAAAGTGTATGCACCTCCTGGGCTAGGAGTACTATCTGCCTGTATTCATAATAAAAAGTCATATTTAAACCGCAGATAGTTACATTCCCGATAAAGTTTACTGCTTATATATAGAGATGACGGAATCCAAGATAGTGCTCTCCCCCCCTAAAACTAGCCTCACAAACAGTTCCTTTCCAAACTGAGAGAGAATGAGAGAGACAGAGAGACAACATTTTAGAACTTTCAACTTTCCATTGTTAATAAATGGCAGAGATGTACAGTACGGGGCTTATTTGATGGCAGTAACCTCCTCTCTCAATATGAAATTAAGCACCATATTGATAACTTCAATTATTTTCTAATGGTTGTACCACTAAAGTTTAACAATGAGGAATACACACAATACAAAACTTGAACTTTATGAAAGAGGTAATGCAGTGACTGAAAGCATGAAACTTAAACTCCATAAAAAAACAAATTCTCAACAATGCAAAAGCTTTAATAGACTCTTTGTTAGCTTGCTTTTCACCACTTCCAAGTAAAAAACCATACTACCTCTGTCCCATAAACATTGTCGTCTTCAGGGACTTGTGCTTTTCTTTTCAGCAGTTGCACACAAGGCGTTTAATTTGCTTCATTTCCACTTTTGTCCTTCAACATCTGAATTTGAATATGAAATAGATTAAAATGCTTCTCTAGTGGTGAAGTTGGGAAACAGACATCAGGCCAACATCACATATTTGTCATCACAATATCCATCAGCAAGAACAAAGCATATATCTATGTTTTATTATGCTGATTAACTTCATATAATTTTGTTAAGTCATGCGTGCGTATCTAACAACTTGTTATTGGATTGAATGACATGGAGAGGGCCCACAACAATGATGTAATGTCACTGTTACCAGTCCACAAGAGGTTAAATGGAAAAAAAGCAAGAAAATTGTTGCTAAATTTGGTAAATCACGTAAATTTTGGGACAGGTCACAAAGGAAAACATGACAATTCAGCAAGACAAAGGGAGTAACAGAGAAAAAACTCAATCAAGAACTCCACTAAATGTATCTTTTCTTCATTTTCTGTTTACATAAATTAAACTTAAGCAGCAGATGCTTAAGCCACTCCTCCATGTATTTTACTCTCTTTTATGATAATTATTATCAATGAGTGCCATTTTAGAGGTACTACCATCAATGGGGAACTAATCTAAGACAGTAAAGATTCACAGGTCCACTTTTATTCAATGCTGTGGCAAGATTTCAACTGGCATCATACCCAGCAGTCATCCAAATGAATAATTAGAAAACAAACCTATAAGACAGAGCTATTACCTATTATCCATGCTAAAGGAGCAGATAATCTCTCACAGAGAGAGTAAAAGAGAAAAACTTAATCAAGAACTCCACTAAATGTATCTTTTCTTCATTTCTGTTTACATAAATCAAACTTAAGCAGCAGATGCCTAAGCTACTCCTCCATGTGTTTTAATCCCTTTTATTATAATTATTATCATTGAGTGCCGTTTTAGAGGTACTGCCATCAATGGGGAACTAACCTAACACAGTCAAGATTCACAGGCCCAGTTTTATTCAATGCTGTGGCAAGATTTCAACTGGCATCATAGTCCAGCTGTCATCCAAATGAATAATTAGAAAATAAACCTATGAGACTGAGCTATCCATTCTAAAGGAGCAGATAATCTCTCAGTTGGATGACTTTGCACCATGTGCTTGAATCACCCTGAAACATGAACCAGAGCCCATCATGCAGCAGAAAAAGGATGGAAGTAAAAACAATATTCATAAAATTAGGCTACCATTGTCTGATTGTCACTTCGACCGGATGGCAGTAGAACTAAGCATCCCATATCACTGTTGGAGATAGCTACAGTCTCTGAATTGGGTGCCTCATATCTGCACTGCTTCCTTCTGATCAAAAAGCCCATCAAATGATTTAGAAAAGTTGTCTCTGGAACCATTTGAACTTTTACTCGGTAGCTTTCTCTTCAAAAGCTTCTTATCTCTAATTGCATCATACAAGAGTTCATATGCATAGTAAGTAATATGGCCCTTCTTCAATAAGTCTTCTACAACAATCTTAGGAGCTGCTACAAACTTTTTATCGGCCTCAAAAATTGTGTTCACAATATCAGGAACAACACCTTTTTGTACCATAAGGAAGATAACATCAACTGCTTCCCGAAGTCTATGCTTCAAGCACAGACAATTTAAAACTCGTCCAAAGGTTTTAACTGCTGGAATGAATCCACTCTTGACCTTCTCATGGAGAAGAGAAAATCCAGAATCAGTGTCATCAATTTTGCAAAAACCATCTATCATACACTGATAAGTGAAGTTATCTGGGTGGCAGTCTCTGTCACTCATCTCTCGGAATAGCTTTTCAGCCATGCCCATATTTAAATTCTTGCAGAATGCATTTATAACAATATTGTATGTTGCAGTTGTATGGGATATACTATATTGCTCTATCATTCTCCTGAACAGCTCAGAGGCTCCATCCAAGTCCCCATCTTCACAGAATCCATTAAGTAATGTCCCAAAACTCACAACATCAGGACACACACCAGCGTTTTCCATTTCTTGAAGCATTTCCAAAGCTCCAGTGAGATTTCTAGACTTGCACAAGCTTTCAATAACAATGTTGAATGTGATAATGTTAGCAACACAACCCTTCTCCTTCATTGACTTGAATAATTCCATCACATTGTCGGGACTTGAAGTTTTACAGAGGCAATCCAACAGCGTGTTGTAAGTGATTACATCAGGAGTAACGCAATGCTCCCACATGGTATTTACAATCTCAAGTGCATCAGCCATCTTTAACTGTTTGCAGTAACCATCTATAATAGTGTTGAAGGTAAAAATGTCAGGAAGAAACCCTTTGGAGATTGCATCATTCATGATATTCATGGCGTCCGATACACATCCCATTTTGCACAACCCATTTATAATCAAATTATAAGTCCATATATCAGGCTTGCAGCCTTTCTCTGGCATTTCATTCATAAGATGCAACGCTTCCAGAATCATCCCCTGTTGAGACAACCCTTTGATTAATGTATTGTACAGAATTATACTGGGCTTTATAACTTTTCGCCTGGCTTCATCAAATACAGCAATGGCCCTGTCGGTGTCACCATCACCACATAGTCCATAAATGAGAGAGCAGTAAGTAAACTCATCAGGCATGAATCCTTTATGAACTGCATCTTTGAGAATTTTGTCAGCTTTTGGTACCATGCCCATTTTGCAAAATCCATCAATGAGAGTATTGTAGGTGAAAATATCAGGCTCAAACCCAGTATTCACCATTTTATGCAAATAGGACTCAGCTTTTAAAACCTTTGAGTTCTTACACAAGCCAGAGATAAGGGTGTTGAATGTAACAACATCAGGAGCTAAACCTTCTCTTGTCACACTATCAAACTTTCTCTCAGCCTCATCAAGCAAGCCCCTTTTACAAAGGCCTTGAATAACAATATTAACCGTAAAAAGATTGGGGGATACACCCCTCTTGAGCACCTTATTGAGAAGCCTTTCACTATGTCGAATATCCCCCTTCTTACAAAGTATGTGCATGAGCTTATTAAATGTTTCAACATTGGGAATAATTCCAAGCTGAAGCATCTCATCAAACAATTCATACGCCTCAAACTGATAACTTGATTCGTAAAATCCACCAATTACAGTACAGTAAGAAACAGCATTAACATAACAACCTTGTCCAGGCATATTTCTTAGAAGCCTTAAAGCCACTCCAGGCCTATTTGTCCTACAAAACGACTTCATCCTAATCGTAAACGTATAAACATCAGGTTCAACCCCTTTATCTCTCATTCGCATATACACTTTATGGGCCTGATTAAAATACCCATACTCAACCAAGATATTCATAATGGCATTATACGACAGAACCGAGGGCTCACAGTTGTAAAAATCCATCCTCTCAAACACATTAACAGCCTCTTGGATCAACCCCTTTTTACCATAATTTCTAATGGCACTAACATAAGCCCCTTCCATTAGATGGTTATCGACATTCGCTCTCATATCTGCCATCACACCTTCCATGGCCTCAAATTTTCCATGATTACCAAGCTTTTCAATGATGCATTTATAAGTTACCAAATTATGCTTAAAACCATCTTCTTTTCTCACAGAATTGAACATCTCGAGTGCCCTCAAGGGGTCTTTTTGATGCCTTACAACAGCCACTACATGTTTAGGAAGTATAGAAGAACTCATTAGTCTTCCCAAACTAAACTAACTCTAATCAACTTTTCCATGAAAACCCACAAAAACCCATCTCAAATTTGATCTTTTTAATCTTGTTTTGTACTTCTTGATAACCCTCATGTCATAAAGTTTGCAACTTTAGCATATTGCAACCTTGGATAAAACAACAAAAGAACAATTTTTGAATTTATAATGCACCACATATCAAGACTGATATGAAATTACCTGAGACTTGAGAGAAAGTAGCATTACTCGAATAGCTCGATTATGCTGGAGGAAGGAGGAACCAGAACTCATTGAAGAAACAAAGTGGAAGAACTAGGGCTTTGAATTAGGGGATTGTAGAGATGAGGATTTTGTACCGTGCATAGAGGTCTATTGGTTTAAACTACAAACGGGAAATTGGTTGCTGGCAAGTGGCAAGTCAGCAGTCAACACGTGTCTCCCTTTTTTTATTTCCCCCCCCCCCCACATGAGGGCTAATTGCTTAGAATATATGCCAAAAAAAAAAACATCGCACAAATATATTTCTGACACACTTAATTTCTAATTCTATACCGGCCGTGCTGACTCAGCACGGCCGCGGAATGAATTTTGCAGAAACTCTGCAAACATGTCAGTGGGTCAGCGGCCCACAAATTTTTTTTTTAAATGAGCCTGTCCCAGCCGTGCTGACTGGGCACGGCTGGGGCAGGCAGTAAAAAAAAAAAACCCTAGGGCCCGTGTTAGTTGCAAACTTGCAATACATTGCGTTGTTGTGCATTAGCTGCTGTAACTACTAGTGCGCCTAGTAGGTGAGGTTACAGGAGCAAGAAAGACTTTGCATTATTCTTTTACTGGTGATTCATTCCTACACATTTATATGTCTTCCCTTAATTAGCTTGCAATTTTTTCAGGGATCTGTTTGGATTCAGCATTTTTCAAAAAATAATTTTTTCATTTACAATGTTACGGTAATATACAAAAAAAACTCCAAAAATACAATATCTAAATAATATATCAAAAATAACTCTAAATATACAAAATATATATTAATGTATATATTTATATATAAATATTATATATAAAAAATATTTGGAGTATTTTTTGGAGTTTATATAAATATAAAAAATATTTTATATAGGAGTATTTTTGGAGTTTATATAAATATAAAAAATATTTTATATAGGAGTATTTTTGGAGTTTATATAAATATAAAATCCAAAGAATATATCAAAAATAACTCCAAATATACAAAATATATATTAATGTATATATTTATATATTTGGAGTTATTTTTGATATATTATTTGGATATTGTATTTTTTGAGTTTTTTTTGTATATTACCGTAGCATTGTAAATGAATAAATTATTTTTCGAAAAATGCTGAATCCAAACAGATCCCTGAAAAAATTGCAAGTTAATTAAGGGAAGACATATAAATGTGTAGGAATGAATCACCACCAGTAAAAGAATAATGCAAAGTCTTTCTTGCTCCTGTAACCCCACCTACTAGGCACAACAACGCAATGTATTGCAAGTTTGCAACTAACACGGGCCCCTAGGCTTTTTTTTTTTTACTGCCTGCCCCAGCCGTGCCCAGTCAGCACGGCTGGGACAGGCTCATTTAAAAAAAAAATTTGTGGGCCGCTGACCCACTGACATGTTTGCAGAGTTTCTGCAAAATTCATTCCGCGGCCGTGCTGACTCAGCACGGCCGGTATAGAATTAGAAATTAAGTGTGTCAGAAATATATTTGTGCGATGTTTTTTTTTTGGCATATATTCTAAGCAATAAGCCCCACATGAGCTACTCCATTTTTTTTTGTTTTCTATTTTTCTCTAATTTCCTTAATAGACATTAATTTGAGTTTCGACTTAATTACAAATATTACAACAAATTGAGTAAAATTATTCACCTTATAATATGGTATTTTGTTTTAATTTAATATCTAAAACTAGTACTACATATTCTTACTCATTTGTTGGATTTACAATATTATAGAGTAGTAAACTTTTAATTAAAATGTAATACGAAAATTGTACAAAATGAATTGATAGGTCACCAAAATAGCTTAGCATGACTTTGAAAGATAAACTCAATTTATCAATTTACCTCATGTCAATTACCTCTTAATATATTTGAAACTAAAGCGATTTCTATTAAATTTTGGCTTTTGAGTGCTAAATTTTATCAGTATACAAATTTTGGTGAAGAATTTATCTCTAATAATAAGCTCATTTTCCTTATTATTTGAACATACAATAATTGATTTATTGTTATGGGAGACTTTTTTTTCAAAAATAACAGTAAGAATAAACATTTGAATTTTATTAGTGCAGACTTAATTTAATAGCTATTCTATAGCAAATATTTAATTTACTTAGACATAAAAAAAATTATTCAAAAACCAGAATGATTCCTATAGTATAAGTAAGGAGCTCAAATAGCCTCAAAAAAATACAAAAATATTTAATAATAATATTGACAAACTTATTCTCTTTCCTTTCCAATTATTCTCAACATAACACACACAAAAATTGTGGAAAAGCATTTTCCTTTTTTTTTTTTCTTTTGTAGCATTATTTTTTTTTTGATAATCTTTTGTAGCATTATTACACCTTCATGTTCCACTCCTTTTTTTTTTTTTTTAACCCACGAATTGTTGGCTAATCGGAAATCCTTCTTGCGTGCGGATTACCGGATTACTACCTTCCTTTTTCCTGTTTCTTTTCTTCCTTTTTTTTCCCTTTTAATTTGTGAAGGGGTCAATTTCAATTACTGCTACCCTTCCAGTGCAGGTTTAAAAGGAAGGAAGACTGAAAGAGGCAGAGCATTGAACAAACAAAGCATACGCCATAGTATAGAGTAGTATAGTATTAGCAACAGAAGAATGGAAACGGCAGGGCAGTGGCTAGAGAAGGCATTGCTGGAGCTATGCAAGAAGATTGAAACGGGTCTTGATTTGGATGCTGAAATCATATCTGGGCTTGTTTCCTATTGTGAGATGGCCCCCCCTCTTGATGCTAAAGAGTATCTTGATGTATGTACTTTGCTTCTTTTCTTCTCCTCTCTACGAATTCTGCGAATTCAGTTTCATATGCGAATTTTATCATCTGGGATTTCTTTTTTCTTTGCAAATTAGTTGGTTATATATGCAAAAAGGTCACATATTTGGAGGAGGGAGGGGGGAGGTCTTCTTGCTTTTGTGTTTTTGGTTTAGATTTTTGAAGTTGGCTTCATATTTTTTTTGGGGTGTTGTTTTCCTGGAGATTTTATATGCAATTATACGTTATTGGTGGTGCTTCAAAGCTTGAATCTTTAGTTGTTAGATATTGGCAGTTTGGGAGTTTGGTATAGGACCACAATTTTGGCTATTAGGGTGAAAACTTCTCTTCGCTGACTACATAGGATGTTCTTTGTGCTACTGAGTTAGCATGGTTAAAAGAGTTAGGTTGTTCAATCATGCCATGCATTCTGATTCCGTTTTATGATAACATGTTTATGCTAATCTTGAATTCAGTAGCACACATTGGGAAAAGAAAAGGCAAAACACCAGTTTTTGATGTCACTGATTAGTCTTTCAGGCCTTAACCCCAATACGGGTGCATTTTATGTTCTGACTTTTGGATAATTTTATTCTCTGGGGTCAAGTTATGCTATGGTAAACTAGGATATAGTTTCACTGTATGAAACTTGGACTTTGAATAAAAGCCTTCTGGATGCAACTTAAAGACTTTAGAAATTTGCACCCACAGCTTGCTGAAGCATGATATTTTATTATGCCTTTTTGAAGTAGTGATCACACAGATACTGTACATATTAAGAAATAGATGTGATAGATGTGCGATTAACTGTTTAATTCAGTTAAGCCTCCACTACTGGCCATTCTAGGTTAGTGTTTCTTGGATTTCTTTCAGGTTTGTTGTTGGTCCTAATTAGCTTCCCACTTAAGTTGTCAACGTGCCAATCTACCCTGAGAGAATTTGTGCACGTGTAAATTGTCTGAGATGTTCGTGCTTGCAAATCCAAAATCAAGTGTGCCACTGCTGTTGTCACTGCTGACTGTTTGTTATTCTTCTCTTGTGCAGAATATCATAGGCCAGGAAGCTGGCAAAAATGTGATTGCAGAGTATTTACAGCGGAGAGGTTATTCTGAGCCACAGAATGTGAATAAGCCTACTCAAAATACTTCAACTTCCAACTTACAAGCATATGTCAAACCACGTACTAATGATGGCTTGGTCATTGGAGCTAAAAAACCACAGAAAGCATCGAAAGATGTTGCAGCCTCATCTAATCGGAAAAATCGAACCTCAACTGGGACATCAGAGTCACAGAATGTGAATAAAGGAACCACAGGCAATTCTAAGAAGAAAAAGTCTGGAAAGGTTGTATCCCTGGCTGAGGCTTCAAAAGGATCAATTGTGTATCAGAAAGGGAAGCCATGTTCTTGCCAAGCTCGTCAGCACAGGCTCATCAGCAATTGTTTATCTTGTGGGAAAATAGTTTGTGAACAAGAAGGTGAGGGACCATGCAACTTTTGTGGTGCCCTTGTGCTGAGGGAAGGAAGCTCCTATGCTGGTCTGCATGAAGGTGCAGTTCCCCTCTCAGAGGCTGAGGCAGCTGCTGAAGCTTATGCAAAGAGGCTTGTTGAGTATGACCGAAACGCTGCTGCACGTACAACAGTTATAGATGACCAAAGTGACTATTATGAGATTGAGGGGAATAGCTGGCTGTCACAGGAGGTAAGTATAGTTTAGCTTGTATCTGTCTATTTGTTGCTGAGCTTTCTCTAATTTTTTCTTTTTTCCCTATTTCCCCATACAGGAGAAAGAACTGTTAAGGAAGAAAAGAGAAGAGATAGAGGAGGCTGAACGTGCCCAGCGTAATAAAGTCATTATGACGTTTGATCTGGTTGGTCGGAAGGTTAGTACTGTCAACTTAAATCTTCTTTCAGTTCTACAGTTCCTTCCAGCAAGGGAAATCATTGAAACATTATTGCACTTTAGATTATAATGTGACTTATTTCACAAGCATCATTGGATGCCATGAAAATCTTCCCTTGATCCAACTTACAATGTGACAGTACCATCTTATGGGCATCATCGTCGTGCTATTGTCAAATTACTTCTACTTAATTTCGGATCTCTATATAAGTTGCTGGTTTTGTTCGCTTTTTGGCTATGCTTTTTGTTCCTGCTATGCTTTCTCCAGGTGCTGATGAACGAAGATGAAGCCTCTGAAGAGTTGCAAAACAGACTTCTTCTACAGCCATCAGAGGAGGGAGAATCGGCCCGCATCAAACCAAACCCTACTCTTAAAATTCAACCTGTTTTTGTGGATCCAGGGCCTAGGAAATCCGTTAAAGAGAA